CACGTTAAGACGGGGTTTCGAGATATTCCACCCGCAAGTATGGAAAAATCGTAAAAAACGTTTGCTTGAAACTTTTTTATTTACCATCCGATCGGCCATAAAATCAATTTCCAAGTGCATTGTTTAAATTAATTTGAGGGGTGTTTCACACTGTTCCAAAAATGTATTTCTCCTTGGTGGAAATGGGGGACAAAGATTTGGTGGATAACGTTTCGCGCTCAAATTTATTTTTACGGATCTATATGAAAAATCATTTGAGATGTGTTTCACATTTTTTCGCAGAATCAAAGCATCCTCGGTAAAAATGCGATTCTAAGATGTGTTGGTGCAGTTTTAAGATTTGTTCGATTTACCTCAAACTTATTTTCAGAGCTCTACCATAATAAATACGTGTTTCAGCAATTTGGGAAAGTCCAACCACAACAATGGTTAACTAGCGAGAAACGTTGGTATAAAACATTTTTGTAAGCCATCGTATCGGCCTCAAACTCCTTTTTAAAGATGTTTGCTCTAATTCATTTGAAGGTGTTTCGCACTTTTTGGAAAATCGATCCCTTCTAGGTGAAAATGGGTGTCAAAGATTTTGTGGGTGTCGTTTCGCGCTTAAATTAATTTACAAGGATCCATGAGAAAAATCATTTGAATCAAAGCATTCTCGTTAAAAAAAGCAATTCATAATTTTTTTAGTGATACTTTAATTTTTTTCCGATTGGCTTCAAAATTATTTTCAAAGCTGTTTGAGAACATTTATTTTATACGTGCCACGGACAAGGCTGGGCTATACGCGTTAGTATTTATATATTTATTCGCAATAGTTCCTTTTGAGTATGTGCGTCTAAGGAATCGCATTCACTTGTAACACCTCGCACCCACTGCTAGTTATGGAGACCAATTGTAGCTTCTCTTGCTGCGCATTGTCTGGGAACACACAGTTGTCGTAGACTAAAATACCATTTTCGCTTCGAACAAAACCCTCAAGCATATTCATCAAATTCCTTGAAATAACTTGTTCGTCGGAGCGCAGAGGTGTACTGATTTGACTATTAAGGATTAGAAAGTAATCATCGCCATGCCCCGTGCCTATAATTAGGTTGGTTAAAGTTGAAGCACAAGCAAAATATTTATATGTCCCTTACCAAAATTGAAATCACTGCGCTGCGATAGCGAATTTCCAGTTCCCTGATTAGCGGGATTATCATAGACGTACCCATAAACTGGACTCTTCCCGTACTTACCATGCAGCTCTATGGAGCGTATGGTATCATTTCTGAACAGCACATCCGTAAATATGCGCTGTACATCCAAGTAACTCTCCAAGCTGAAATTGCGATTACCCAGATATTCTTGTCTGAGGTTCCGTGAGTAGTCATCCATTTCCTCAAGCGTTTCCTTGGAGTCCCGATAGAACAGAAAATGGGGCGCCAACTCGAACCAGCGACTATTCAACTCCTCAATCAGCTCTCTTCCATTGGCTTGCTTTTTCATAAGCAGAGCAGCGTTGTAAGTGCCATCATCGTGCGTGTTGGCGGCTAACCAAGGCACTTGTCCAAGCTTTCCACTCTTGATAATGTCGATAGGGTGTTGAGTAAGGAAAGGCTCAGCCGCATCGACGGACTCTATCACAGGGCCGAATGGCGTAAAAGGGACATAGTCAAACACGAGGAACTGACGCACAGCGGTGACTATTTGCGATGCATCCTTTGACTTGAGGCACTTTTTGAGCTCAACAGAATCACTTAGCAAGCCGCAACCCACAATGCGACCCAGTTCAAAGGCACGTCGCCGTGCACCTTGTTGCACCACCCAGGGATTCAATGCATTTCCACTCAGCGAAATAGCTACCTTTACCAGCTGGTTGAAATCCTTTTGAAGTAGCTGCAAATGCACGGAGGCACCTCCAGCAGAAAGACCTAAGACAAGTATATTCTCTGGCTCGCCACCAAAACGATTAATGTGCTTCCTAATCCAGCGTAATGCCAGACGCTGGTCCTTTAGTCCAAAGTTGCCTGATATAGCGCCATCTTCGGAACTTGCAAATCCCAATGGCCCCAATCTATAGTTAAGCTTTACCATTATAAAATTTCCCGTGTCCATAACTCGCTCGTGTATCCCCTCGGACGACGCTTTAAACATGAAGCCTCCGCCATATATATCCACCAAAACTGGAAAGCTTTTGCGACTGGAATTCTTGGGCTTATACACGCTCACAGTCAGACAGTCCTCTACACCGCGAAGTTTGTCCGGTTGCTGAACTAACTGACTCCACTCCATGCAGTTCGCGGGAGGTTTGGTCGCATCGTAAATTTGCTTCCAGCGCTGGGTGTATGGCCTTGGTGCCTCGAAGCGCAGCTCACCCACAGGTGGCTCCGCATAGGGTATCGACTCATAGCTATAATACCGTTCGTTATCCCGTCCACGCAATTTACCACATGGCAGTTCCACCAGCAGTTGATCCGTGGCGGACACTACCCCAACAAGACACAGCACCAAGAGGAACCCAACACAGCACATGATCCGTACTTAAGCAGATCCCAATTGCGACTAAGACAGACGACGGCAAGGAACGTTACTTGTATGAAATGAAAGTCTTTCCGATTTGAACTTGAACTGGATGGGGTTGGCGGGCCTTTGGCTTACTCAGATATATAACTTATAATTGATTTAAAATTGCATTATGGGCTCATCTTAACAGACACGCGGCTTTATTTTAAAGTAATGAATAACCAGTATTCTAATTAACCCAAAAGCTTACATATCTAATTTCAGGTTATTTGAGAAAGTTTGTGAAATCAATGCAAAAGCATTTCAAGCCAAAATGGAATGAGTTCAGCGACCAGGTATATGCATTATAAATGTCAAATTAATAGTATCTAATTACATAAATTAAATACTGATCAAGATGCAATTATATAGGTTTGATTTAAGGCGTGGAAGCTAATTGAGCAAACTTTAAAGAAACTATCTCACTTGAAGCACCTCGCAGCTGTTACGTTTGATTGAAAGCAATTTCAGCTGCTCTTGGGCCACATTGTCACGCAAAACACAATTGTCATAAGTCAAAGTCCCATTTTCGCTTTGCACAAAGCTCTCTATCATTCTTATCAGGTTCTTGGAAATAATTTTCTCATCTGAGCGCAGAGGGTGGCGAACGGGATTGTCAAATATTAGAAAGAAATCATCCCAATGCCCTGAGCCTATAATTAGATAAGTGAACATTAGTTACGGGCACAGTAGTTCATATCAATCAAATTCCTACCAAAAGAAACATTGTTTCGCTTTGACAGCCAATGTCCACTGCCTTGATTGGCGGGATTATCGTAGACGTAGCCATAAACTGGACTCTTTCCGTACTTCCCATGCAGCTCTATAGAGCGTATGGTATCATTTCTAAATAATACGTCCGTAAACATGCGTTGCACATTCAAGTAGTTCTCCAAGCTAAAGTTTCGATTACCCAGATATTCTTGCCTTAGGTCCCGCGAGTAGTTGTCCATTTCCTCAATTGTTTTCTTAGAGTAGAACAGGAAATGGGGTGCCAGCTCATACCAGCGACTGTTAAGTTCCTCAATCAGCTCTCTTCCATTTGCTTGCTTAGCCAGTAGAAGAGCAGCATTGTATGTGCCATCCTCCTGGGTGTATGATACTAGCCAAGGCACTTGGGCAAACTTTCCACTCTTGATAATGTCAATGGGGTGCTGAGTGAGGAAAGGTTCAGATGCATCGACGGTCTCTACCACAGGGCCGAAGGGAGTAAAGGGCACATAGTCAAATACCAGGAATTCACGCACAGCTCTGACTAGTTGCGCGGCATCCTTAGTTTTCAGGCACTTTTTGAGCTCAGCAGAGTCACTTAGAAGGCCACAGCCCACCATGCGACCCAGCTCAAACGCACGTCTACGTCCACTTTTAAGCACAATCCAAGGATTCAGGGCATTTCCGCTAATGGACACAGCCACCTTGGCGAGCTGTCTAAATTCCTGTTGCAGCAGTTGCAAATGCACCGCGGCAGCTCCTGAGGAGAAGCCAAGAACAAGTATATTTTCCGGCTCTCCACCGAAGCGAGCAATATTTTGCTTGATCCAGTGCAAGGCCAGACGTTGATCTTTTAATCCAAAGTTGCCCGGCAAAGCGCCGTCGCCGGTGCTAACAAAACCCAGTGGTCCCAGCCGATAGCTGATCTTAACCACAATCACATTGGCGCTGGCCATGAGCGGCTCGTGTCCGTTTTCCACAGCACCACCGAACATGAAGCAGCCGCCATGTATTAGCACAATAACTGAAAACGTGCTGCGGTTGGAGCTCTTCGGTCTGTATACGCTGACAGTTAGGCAATCCTCACTGCCCGTCAGCTTATCCGCATGCTCGATGAACTGGCTCCATTGCATGCAGAGCACAGGTGGTTGACTGGCATCAAAGGTGGTCTCCTTCCACTGCTGGGAATATGGCTGTGGTGCCTCGAAGCGCAGTTCACCCACAGGTGGCTCCGCATAGGGTATAGACTCGTAGCTGTAGTATCCTTTATTATCGCGTCCACGCAGCCTTCCATGCGGCAGCTCCACCAGCAGCGGATCAGCAAAGGTAGCTGCTGCCCCCAGACAGAGCAATGCGATGCGAATCGACTTATCAGTCATAACCTGCACCCTGCCGAGTCTCAGTTTAAACTGTTCTCAGTAGAGACAATCTGCTGAGCTGTATTATTCTTATTCTCGATTCGACTCTCTAATTTTATTGCTGCTCATTATCTGCGCTCGCATCACGCAGAGCGACTAGGGCTTCAACACGGAAACTGATAGGTAAGTGTGCTGTGGTCGGGAGTGCCCGATTAGGAGATACCCCAAACCCATATCATATCTTAAGATCGATAGTTACTATAAACCTGTTCTGCATTAACATAAGAGAATATATTTTACAATAAAGAAACTTAAGTTTTTGTAGTTTTCGCTTACACTTACATGGCATGGACAAAAAGATGGACAGAAGGACGGTCGTGGTTAGATAGATTCAGTTCGACTTGTTATAGATTTACTCTCATGTCGTTCTTCTGCCTGTCACAAAAATTTGCACAAAAACATTATACCCAGTTTTCATGAGTTCAGGGTATAAGAATAAGTAGAACAGAACAGATTATTCTATTTATCAGCATTTGTTTGCATTTAACGCTACAAATCGATCGAACAACTATTAAATATAAAACTTTTGCTGTCTATTGGAAAATATTTAGTTCCATATTTTCGCAGCTGTTGCTCTTGATGTCAAGCAGTTGGAGCATATTTTGGCCAACATTATCTCGAAACACGCACTTGTCATAGGTCAAGGCTCCAGTGTCGCTTTGTACAAATCCCTCCAGCATGCTTATTAAATTCTTGGAAATGATCTTCTCGTCAGCACGGAGTTGAGTGTTTGGCTTGTCGAATATGAGCACATAATCATCGCCATGTCCTGTGCCTATAAGCATATCATGTGAATTCAGTTAAGGAATACTTTATATATATAAATATATATCCGTTTCTCACCAAAATAAATATCATCCCGCTTAGCTAGCTGTTGAGCACTGCCCCGAACAGGGGGATTATCATAGACATAGCCATAAACTGGACTCTTTCCATACTTAGCATGCAGCTCTATAGAGCGTATGGTGTCATTTCTGAACAGCACATCCGTAAATATCCGCTGCACATCCAAGTAGCTCCCCAAGCTGAAGTTTCGATTGCCCAGATATTCTTGCCTCAAATCCCGCGAGTAGTCGTCCATTTCCTCAATTGTTTTCTTAGAGTCACGATAAAACAGGAAATGGGGTGCTAACTCGTACCAGCGACTGTTCAGCTCCTCAATCAGCTCTCTTCCATTGGATTGTTGCGCCAGAAGAGCAGCATTGTAAGTGCCATCCTCCTGGGTGTATGATACTAACCAAGGCAATTGGGCAAACTTTCCACTCTTGATAATGTCAACGGGGTGCTGAGTGAGGAAAGGTTCAACTGCATCGACGGACTCTATCACAGGGCCGAAGGGAGTAAATGGTACATAATCAATGACGAGGAACTGACGCACAGCGGTGACTATTTGCGACGCATCCTTCGACTGAAGGCACTTTTTGAGCTCAACAGAGTCACTTAGCAAGCCGCAGCCCACAATGCGGCCCAAATCGAAGGCGCGTCGACGTGCACCTGGCTGCACCACCCATGGATCGAGTGCATTTCCACTAATTGAAAAAGCCGTCTTTGCCAGCTGGCTAAACTCCTCTTGCAGTAGCTGCAGATGCACGGAGGCACCGCCAGCTGAGTGACCCAGCACGAGTATATTTTCCGGATCTCCACCGAAGCGGGCAATGTTTTGTTTGATCCAGCGCAGAGCCAAGCGCTGATCCTTCAGTCCAAAGTTGCCAGACAATGCAGCGTCTTTGGCGCTTAAGAAACCAAGCGGACCGAGTCGATAGGCGATCTTCACCACTATAGCATTTCCCCTGACCATAATGGGATCGTGGCCGTGCTGAACAGGTCCGCCAAACATGAAGGCGCCGCCATGAATATTGACCAGAACAGGAAAAGTGCTACGACTCGAGTTTTTCGGCTTGTACACGTTAACCGTGAGGCAATCCTCCGTTCCTATTAGCTTGTCTTCCCCGTCGACAAACTGATTCCATTGCATGCAGAGCACGGGCGGCCTGCTGCCATCGAAGACGTCCTTCCACTGCTGGGAGTATGGCTGTGGGGCCTCGAGGCGTAGCTTACCCACAGGTGGCTCCGCATAGGGTATCGACTCGTAGCTGTAATACCCCTCGTTATCGCGCCCACGTAGTTTTCCATTTGGTAGTTCAACTAAAAGTGGATCGGCAAATGAAGCTGCCACCGCTAGGCAAATCAAGGTGACCGTGATCATGATATCATTCATGATTTACACTCGAGCGATTCTTGGCTCACACTAGTCTAGTCTGTGGCAAGTATTTGTTTTATATGCACTGCAATCACAACTAATTTCTCAACTAATTCTCTCGCACGCCACAAAGCCAATTAGATGCATGACCAAATATGAAATATGAGATTCGCTCTATCAACTGGCAAATCGGTATGTGGCAATCAATGTGACAGTTGATTGCGAAAAAAAACTAACAAGGCGAGAAAATGAACAACAAGATTACATATAAATATATGCTTATGTGTCCATAAGTTACAAACTAATTAAGTATAATAATAGTTCAAAATTCGTTATTTGTATTTACAATTGAAATGCTTCGAATTATATTCAAATTGGCTACGATTGAGTAAAGCAATAAATACAAAAAATAGAAAAAAAGGCACGCCGCAGATTAAATGCTCTTTTAGACACATAGCTTGAGGCTTTGCGAACATGTGAGGCAATATAGTCGCCAGGTATGGACAATATTTGGTTAATTTATAATAAGTGAAAACAATAAGGTCATGTTTTTGCCAATATATATATTCGAACAAAAAGATTTGTTTTTTAAAGAATTAAATTCGAGCGATCAATCCTATAATAACTAATTATTGTAGTGATCATTGAACAGAAAGCCTACATAAGACGATAGCTTTAGAACTAGAAACAGACAGACGGATATGGGTATACTGACGCGGCGATTGATGCTCATGAAGAATATATATACTTTATAGGGTTCGGAGATGTCTGCTTCTAGGCGTTACACATTTCACGACAAAATTATAATATCCTCATCGAATGGTATAAAATTAGATCAATCATGAAATTAAACTTAGATCGTTCATGAAAGTAGCCAGAACTGCATTTAAGCCTAATGTAAGCTTGGCTTACTAGTCTTAAGGTTTTGTCTAGACTAAGTTAATGGCTTTTTTTTTAATTCTTATTTAATTCTTAGCACAAGGACACAATTCATTTTGCATGAATTGCTGAGCATTTGTGCACAAAGAACAAATAATATTATAAATTTGAATAAAGCATTTTTATTTAACCTCTGGATCTGAATTTTAATTATGCGAATTAAAAATTGGTTACAATAATATACCCTTACCGCCAGCTTGCCACACTGAAAACTCCTGACCGCCAGTCCAATGGATCCCTTTAGTAAACAACAACTGGGCTTGGTGGAAGATTGCTGGAGACAGTGTCGGGCAAGCGATCCACTTTCTGCACTTTGCAGCTGGTACGTTGAATGACCATCAGCTGGAACTGCTTCTGACCCACATTGTCGGGGAAGGTGCAGTTGTCATAGACAAAGTCACCGGTTTCAAGAAAACCTTCCACCATCTTGACAAGCTTCCAAGAGATGACTTTCTCGTCAGGTCGCAGCGGCTCGCGTATTGGATTGTTCATCATGAGGAAATAATCGTCGCCATGTGCCGTGCCTGTAAATTGTTGTATTGGCATTGGTTAGTTGGTCAGATGCGAACCTTTAATGAATATCGTACCTAGGAACACGTCGCTGCGCCTTGCCAGTAACTGTCCAAACGAATGATCAGATGGATTGTCGTAAATGTACACATAAACTGGACTCTTTCCATACTTTCGCTGCAAATCTACGCCCAGCTCAATGCTGTTCTTGAATATCTCGTTCGTAAACATGCGCTGGAAGTCCCAATAGTTCTCGAGGCTGAACCTCCGATTGCCCATATAATGTTGCCTTAGTTTTCGAGAGTGGCTGTCCCTTTCCCTTCGGTTCATTGTGTTGCGATAGGAGAATAAGTAGGGCGCCAATTCGTACCAGCGTGTGTTTAGCTCATATATCCTCTCTTTGCCATTCGGCTCTTTTGCCAGAAATATGGCGGCATTGTAAATACCCTCCTCTGGCGTGTAGCCGGCCAACCAGGGGACTTGTGCAAACTTTCCACTCTTTATTATGTCAATGGGTAGCTTGGTAATGAAGGGATCAACTGTGTCCTCGGGCTCCACAGCGGGCCCAAATGGAGCAAATGGAATATAGTCATAGACCAAAAAGTGCTTAAATGATCTGGCCAATTCATTCGCATCCACCGCTTGCAGGCACATTTTCAGCTCGGCTGTATTATTGGGACTGCCGCAACCTAAAACTCGACCCAATTCATACGCCTGCTCAACACCACTTGGCTGCACAGACCAGGGCGACACTGCGTTTCCGCTCATTGAGTAGACGCCCTTCAAAATGCCTTTCATGTCCTCGTTCATAAGCTGCAGATGCACGGAACCAGCTCCTGAGGAGAAACCGAAGAGTAATATGCTATTGGGATCTCCACCAAAATACCCAATGTGCTTCTTGATCCATTTGATTGCCAGACGTTGATCCTTCAGTGCATAGTTGCCTGACCAGTCGGCATCGCCAGTGTTAGCAAAGCCCAAAATTCCCACTCTGTGGTTGATCTTCACCACGATCACATTGCCGCTGTCCATGAATCCCCTAGCTCCGTCCTCAAGAGTTCCGCCAAACGACCAGGCACCGCCAAATATACTTGCCACCACCGGAAAAGTTCTGCGAGTCGAGTTCTTTGGCTTGTATATGCTTACTGTCAGACAGTCCTCGCTGCCCGTCAATTGATCAGGTGTCGTGACAAAATGGCTCCACTGCAAGCACTCCGCCGACGGGCGTGTAGCATCAAAGATTTCCTTCCATTTTCCAGCAAATGGCTTGGGTGCCTCGAAGCGCAGCGGGCCTACGGGGGGCTCTGCGTAAGGCACGGATTCGTACGTGTAATATATTCCGCGATCGCGTCCACGCAGCGTACCGTATGGCAGCCTTACCAACAGCGGATCAGCCAAGCAAGTTGTGGGCCACACGCACAGCAATGCAGCCACAATAATACAGCAATAATTCATAATGTGCACTAAATGGGGTCCCAATGCATACTGCAGCCATCCCAGAAAATCAACAGCTTTTTATGACAGCTCTTAACTAAAAGATTTTTGAACTTTATGTACCTTTACTGAGCTCGAGAATAATTTACATTTGCATTGGAGTTTAAAAAAGTGATAAAAAATATGACATTTGTCCTGTTAGGGGCAAAGTGAAAAACATTTGACTAATAACAAAAATCATTAAAAAAACTGTCGTAAAAAATAAATAATTTATGTACATATCAAATAAGCGAAGCTTGTGCGGAAAACATTAAATATTTAGAAATATTTGAAAATGGGTTTCATTTATTTTTAAATATTGATTAGATATTAAAAGAAGCACTGGATTAATTCTTGTTAAAATTTACTTCTTTTATTTTGAAAAAGTCTCTAAGAACACATCAACGAGCATCCCAATGTTAAGTTGTCTATATAATAAATAAGTATTTCTTTTAATTTGAAATAATGAAATATAGAAAAAAAAACATTTACATTTAAATTCGTCTGAGCACATGCTTTTAGTTCTTTGGCTAATTTAATTTGTTAATTCGCGTATTTTGTAATTTTCCCACACTTTTCTAATGAAAACTTGCACTTGGCTGTATATTTTTTAATTTTTGTGAACAAAAAAGAAAAACGTTTAAATTTAAATTAACCTAAGCACACGCTTTTACTCCTTTGGTTATTTTAACTCGTTAATTCGCGTATTCCTTGCTTTTGTAATTTTTCAACATTTCTCAACTGAACACTTGCACTTGGGTAAAACAATCAGAGCTCACACTCATATTTCACACAACATTTCAAAAGAAATATTATTTTTTAGCTCATTTTATTAGTTCCGTTTACTGACGCATTCGCATTCGTGGTGAAGTTATAGTATTAAGCCACGAATGAGAAGCCAAGAGAGAGAGAGAGAGAGAGAGAGAGAGAGAGTGAGTGAGAGACAGAAAGAGAAAGATATCGCCTTCCCTTATACAAAGTAAAAAGGTGGCCGTTAATTGTGAATAAGAAGTCTTTCTTAGTCGACTGTGAAGTTTTTGAGTTATTAAATAATGCCATGATTTATTTGCCAAAGATTACAGTACCCACATATACATTTATAGAAATTTACACCCATCGACTATTGATTTGATCGTTTCATAGAGATCGGCTCAGTAAATTACAATTGGATTTGGTGGTAGATTATTGGACACCGTGTCGGGCAAACGATCCACTTCCAATTGCTTGCAATAGTTGCGTCCTATGACCACCAACTGGAATTTCTTTTTGCCCAAGTTGTTTGGGAACACACAGTCGTCATAGACCAAGGTCTCGTGCGCGGCAAAATCTTCCACCATCTTGACTAGCTTCCATGAAACGATTTTCTCGTCAGCTCGCAGCGGTTCACGCAGTGGATTGTTCATCAAGAGATAGTAATCGTCGCCCATTCCGGTGCCTGAGAATAGATCAATTGATATTAGTTACTGCACCAATTTCGAGCCATTAGCAATTATCTTACCCAAGGATATATCAGATCTCTTGGCCAGGAATTGTGCCAGCGACTTATCCGCGGGATTGTCGTAGACGTACGCATAGACGGGGCTGGCTCCGTGCTTGCGATGTGCATCTAATGACAGTTCGATGCCTTTTTTGTACAACTCGTTTGTAAACAAGCGCTGAACATCGAAATAGTTTTCGACGCTGAAGTTCTTATATCCTAGATATTGATATTTCAGTTTCTGAGAATGAGCATTCATTTCAGACCTCTTCAATGTGTATGGGTAAGCCAAAAAGTATGGAGCCAGTTCGTTCCAGCGAGTGTTTAACTCTTCAATCCTCTCTTTACCATTGGCGTCCTTAGCTAAAAGAAGAGCGGCGTTATAGATACCATTCTCGGGTGTGTAGCTGGCCAACCAAGGCACTTGAGCAAAGTTTCCACTTCTGATGGTGTCGAGGGGCAGCTCGGTGAGGAATGGGCTTTCCACTTCGGGGGACTCTACGACTGGGCCAAACGGACCAAAAGGCACATAGTCAAACACCTGAAGGTGCCTTAAGGTGCTGACGAATTCTTCCGCATCCGTTTTTTTCAGGCAATCTTTCAGCTCGCGTGAATTTTTAGGGTTATTACAACCCAAGAGTTTGCCATATCGGAATGCGAGATCACGTGCAT